GTCTGAAATATTTACAGTCTACAGAAGACACTTGAGTCTCAAACTCTAGTAAATCTCATTAAAATTTCGCGAAATTCAGAGTTTTGGGGACTTAACGCATCGTGGGCTGAAAATATCCGCTTCCAAACACTGCATCACATTCACAAATTTTATCTAAGGTAAGCAGCAACTTGAGATTGTTACAGTTTATAGAACACATCTTATTCTCAAGCTCTGGAAAATCTCATTAAAATTTCGCTGAATTCTGATTTTTACTGAGTGTGTGAATATTGGCCCAAAAATAAGCGTTCTCACACAAATGTACCCCTGCCTAAAAAAATCCTAACTTTTAATCGAGACCGGGCAGCAATCTAAGATTTCTAGAGTCTATCGACAACATCTCAGTCTCAAATTCTGGAAATGTTTATAAAAATTTTGCTCAATCCTGATTTATGCTGACTTAGTGAATGTTGGGGCAACAATAAAGGCTTCCACAAAAATGCGCTCTCTGCTTAAAAAATCGCTAGATTCTAAGGTAGAGTTAGCAGGAAGCTGCGATTCTTACGGTCTATAGAAGACATTGCGGTTCCAAATTTTGAAAAATTTCAGTACAGTTTGGTAGTATTCCGATTTTTCCTGACCGGGTGAATCTTGGCCCGGCCATAAACGTGCCCAGACAAATTCACCCTTTGCCTAAAAAATTGCTAACTTTTCATATTGAGCGAGAATTACCCTGACACTTTTACCATCTATACAAGACACTTTAGCCTCAGATTGGGAAAAATATTATTTAAATTTCGCAAAATCCTGAGTTTTGCTCCCAAAAATAACTGCTTTTACACCAATGCACGCTCGGTTTTAAAAATTTTTAACTCGACGTGCGAGCAGTAAGCTGAAAATTGTCCAGTCTACAGAAGAGACCTTAGTCTCAAATCCTGGAAAATTTCATAAAAATGCAACCCTGTCCTGATTTATGCTGACTTACTGAATATTGACCCGAAAATTGCCGCTTTCAAGCAAAAAGACAATCTCTTTAAAAAAATCTTATCTTCTTTTTCAAAGCGACACTTTAAATTGAGGAAAGGTTCTTTACAATTTTACCGACTTGCTAAAAACAAGCACGATTTCGCCCTGTCTACTTCAAAAAAGCGCGGTTGATAATGATGAGGAAACCGAGCACAAGCCTTATAATAATTTCTGCTCTATTGGCTTATTAAAGCCTTCCGGAAAACGAGGTCTTCCAGTCGATTTCTTCGCATTATCGAGCCAATCTGATCTAAGTCTTTGATTCATGTCTTCAGAAATGCACATTTAGCACGTGATAATGTGGCGTTATGTTCGGCTTATTCACTTAGTATTAGTCAATTTAGCGCGAGAATTTCACCAAAAAATGCACTCAGCTGCAGATCAACCAGTTATTAATTAGCTCAACGTGTAGCAATGATTCAACAGCCGCAAGACATGGAAATTCGTGTTTGAAAGTGATGTTTATTTCGTTTTCTTCTAGAGACAATGACTGACTAGTTGCCACAAGGGGTCATAAATCAGCAATCTGCAACTCGCCTAACTGTAACTTTCCAGTTACCATTATGGCCCATTGAAACTAGACCATGACGGTTGAGTATTTCACTTCTGTTGAACATTTGTTTTTTCCTTGAGAGTATCGCTTGCTAATGCACGTCGTTTTAATTAAGTGAACTTGTGCTGGTGGGAGTGTCCAAAATGTTACCAGAAGAAAGTCTCAGCAAAACAAGTAGTCCTGAGAGTGGTAAATTTCCTTTATGGGAAGCTGAGCAAACCATATGGCTTGAAACGGGCGTTCTAAAGTCAATATGAATAACCAAGTCGGGCCTGGAGGAATAAGTACAAATACCTAAAGGAAATTTACATAAAACTCTACACCAAACACCTGTGGATGTGGAAAACATAATTAATTTTAACCGTAYAGCCGCAAACATAGACTGACTTAGAAATTTAATGTTGGATTTGGATGGAAAATGCAAATGAAGGYAGAAAAACGGAATTCTGCTTGGAAATTTTAGGCGGAAGTGAAGAGCGACTTGTTTGCAAAGCYTGCCAAAGTATACAAAATTTGAAAAAGCCGTAAGTTTCAGAGGGAAGTTCCKTAAAACACCGAAGAATCGGCCAAGATAGAGCGAATGAAAAACGCCCAATTACCAGGTGCTAAAGTACAGAAACTAGTCCGCGGTCATTTTTAAGCAGAGGCGACATCTGTTAACAGCCGCTTAAGCGACCCAAACGAGTGGAATCGGCAATGAGTAAGAAGGAAATGGAGCTAACGTGGGCATTAGCGCTGTTGATCTAAAATTAATTGTAAAGCTCCTGAAAAACTTTTGACATTCACTAATTAATATGCAAATAAGCTTCTGATTTCTAGCCCAATTTACCTCAGATTAAGATTCAGTGGATTTACAGCTGCAGATCGATTCACGCTTTTTTCCTCGAGCTGAAGAACAGCACTTACCTGGAAAGAGCCAAGCAAAAAGCCTTAAAATGTGTTGCCTAAGAACAACTGTTAAATCATGTCGGTTCCGGTCAACCCACAGAAGCCTCATTTCGAACATTTCCTTAAATAATAATGAACTTGTTAACCGATTCAACAAACAATCCTTTGTTTGCGAGATGCTCGAACACGGCAAGTGCAGTTAAGCCCATTGTGGGCTTTTCAATTATACTGATTTGGGCAAGTAGCAGTCTGAAAAGAAGCCATTTGTGTGTCGATTAAAGGAATGATCCCGATCTCATTCTTTGTTCACGAATTTGTTGAGGAAAACTGCAGTTTTCCAGCCTTAATTGGTACAGTTAACTAGATGGACGGGAAGTTTCGATAAATTTTAAATACAAGTCTGGCCTTCACTCAGATACATGTTCAACACTAAATAAGAAATAAAATAAGCCTTGTCTCAATGCGGTGATTTAAATACTCGTGATAGAGCAGAATGTAACTCAATGCACGAAGTAAAAGTAACAAAACGGCCGGTACATCCAGATAAATAAAAGCGATAGAAATTTACTAGCTGGTGTTCTGTCTAGGAATTTAAATAATCTTGATCTCACAGTGGGACTAGGAATGAGAGACATGCAAATCTTCGGTTAGCATCGATACAAATCACTATACAAAACGGGTTTTAATTTAAAAATCACCTACTAAGTACTAGAATTACAACTTTATCAGCAATGTTGCTTGAAACTAGTGAGTTTTGGGGGCTTTTAGCTCGCCCTGCAAAAGGGTTTCTTTCTGACGTTTCGCAAACACGACTGGCGACCATCTTCAGAACATTGCGGCGTTGAGCTAACCACATCTTTAGGCGCCAGTTTCTGGATTAGCCCGCCATTGCTCGTATAGTAGGCCCATTTTTTGACAGCGCAATGTAATTAGTAGCCAAAGTGGCAGGCCTATAAGCGCTAAATCGCCGGTTATACACGTTTAATCGCCCGATGTTTTTCGACGATTCAGAACACTGGGGCAAATTGGACAGTTTAACGTTTAATAGTCATCCCAATCGACTTTTTCAAGTATCGATCAATGCAATTGAACGCAATCTTGAACTACGGCGTGTAGACGATAGTGAATTGGTGACTTAACAGATCGTATGTACTTTAGAACGGATCTAATGTACCGTACAGGACTATTAAAATGGCATTCTGCAATAATGTAGTACGGAAATCAGATCTAGAGAGCCGATAGGGTTTTATGCACGTTTCACACCTGCCTGTTTATAGTTCGAGCGTGTAATAAACGAGCTGATGGTTTTTCTATGGCAAAAGTTCCGAGTTTTGTTGGTTCTTTATAAGCCGACAAAATCGTATATTTGATTTGTTGGCCGCAAAACATTCAGAGCTGGAAAGGATTTTTTGCATTGGAAAATATGAGAAAATGTAAAGGAAATAGATGCTAGATGCATTTCCCAGAACTGACTAGAAAATTGTCAAAAACAAGGCTACTTTTGCAAGATAAAGTTAATAGGGCTGCTAAGGCTAAGCTAAGAAAAACTCCAAAAGGTCCCAAATAATCGGTTTCAAAGGCTTCAAAGGAGATTTGGGTTTTTAAGGATGATGGCGGTTTATTAAATAAAATTTGATTTTCTTCCCTCAGTGATTGATTTTCTTTGTTTGCATGCATGATGTTTAGATTTGGTTTAGTTTGTATGAATGCTGCAGGATTGAATAGAGCAGAGAAAAGCAATTTCAAAAAAATATTGAGAAGAAGTAGAACACTAGAAGAAATTTTGCGGATTTCTTCATTAATTCAATTAATCCGTAACACGGTGCGGAAGTGTTAACCTCTGGTAATGGTGCGGAAGAACGATGTTCACTCCAGATAAAATCTACGTGATTTCAAAGGCCTGCAGCGTTTCAATGCCACCTAGGTGGAAGATGATTTATCTCTTTAGGCCCTTCTTCTTCGAAGAACCTTTAGCGGAAGCCATCGTGCATTTTGGTGTCACGCGATATTATTCGTGAAGATCGTGCCGAAAAGTCAAAAACAGTGAATTTTCTTTGTTCAACTGACCACTAAACTTGAACTTTCTATGCCAAAGCCAGCCATTAAACGTTGGTTCGAAGCCATTAGAAAATAATTGACGAATTAATATCCCAGTGCATCCCATTCATTGACCTTAGTTAGGAAAAGTTCTGAAATCATCGAAGCTTAATCGAAGCACGACTTTACGAGCTTTATAATGATTCCGGATATTTAAAGAGAAACAATGAGCGTGTCTAGAAAAATATCCACGGTTAGCCCCAGTCGATTAATGCCACAATAAATTGTCGATAAGGAATTTCCGGTGAAGGTTTAATAACTAGAGCGGTAGAGAGAACATGGACGATACTCGATTGAGTCAAGTTTTGCATTCATTTTTGTTTATTTCAGTGGTGGTAGCAATAAGAGATGCTTCGTGCCCAAGAATATGCCAACAGAACGCCTATGGAGAGCCGGTATGTGGATCAGATGGGGTCATCTACTCAAATATCTGCGAGTTGAAGAAAAAGACTTGTGGAAAAGGTAACTAATAATCTTCGCAAATCACTGAACCTACGCTGTGTGAGCCGAACAAGGCAGAGCCGTGAATAAGCGTGTTAGAAGACGACAAAAACTGCGCTCCGCTAACGTTGACGTCGTTTATGCGCATATGGTATCTCTTTCTTATGCACGTGTTTGAAGGCCTGCCTTGTTCCTCTCATTGCCTAAGTTATCAATTTTCGCTATGGAACGATGAAATTTTGGCAGGAATCAAACTATCAACGGATCCAGGACTTTGTCAACGACACGCCGGTTCCAAATGCGACCATAAATGCACCTCAGAAAAGGATCCAGTATGTGGAACAGATGGCAGAACTTACCTTAACAGGTGTATGCTTCAGGTAGAGATTTGCAGGTAAAACTATACGTAAAATGGAATTAGCAACATTTAATCATTTGCAAAGAAATCAGTGGGAGTTGAAACATCGCTCGGTTTATTGATTTTTAAGTACGAGTCACTCTCAATAATTTATCATTTTGAAACTCCCATAGGGATCATGAGTCCACATTATTTCCAAAGTTGCCATTAATGGTTGTCAGCGGATGGCCATTAATTTTAATTCTAATGTATTAAGAGTGTTTTTTTTTTCACATTTTATCCTGTCGCTAACACAACGTCTAATTTCTTGAATTTACTGCTCTTCTCAATGGAAGCTTTTGCTCAATCATTCTTTGTCTCTTTTGTTTTGGTTTATCAAATTAACTTTCTTCCGTGCTTTGGACAGGAAAATTAACAAATTTCCCAATATTTTCCCGACAAATTGTTCTGCTTTTCCCTCAAAAAAGTTGAAGTAAATATTGGCCGTTATCATTTAAATGAATCCTACAAGTAAGCAATTTTTTTTTCAGATTAGGTATAGGACTGTCTCACTTAGGCCCGTGCAATAACATCAGTGCCCATAGAGAAAACTGTCCAGTGGACTGTCGGCAGGCTCCTCAGGATGGACCAATTTGTGGCAGCGACGGAAACGTTTACAAGAGTACTTGCCAAATGAAGTTACTCACTTGTGGGTAAGCAATTTTTCGTTAATAAATTTTTGTCAATTTGCTGATCAATTCGGAGGCAAAATGTTGTCTCGAAACATTTTTGTGCGATGCTGGATTTTCGAGTAAAGAAATTAAAGTCGATTCATTGCAGTGTTGGAGCTGCCTAGTGCTCCAAACATTTTCTTGTACTTTAAATTTTAAAAAAATGCGTCGAGCCCCAGATTTTTGGTACAACAAAAATCTGTTTCCGATATTGGGATTAATTAGGAAGAGAAAAGGTCTCTTTGAAATTTTATGTGCGACGCCCCGTTTTCGAGTAAAAAATGTAAAGTCAATTCATTGCAGTGTTGGAGTTGCCAAGTGCTCCAAACATTTTCTTGTACTTTGAATTTAAGAAAATGTGTCGAGCCCCAGATTTTCTCAAAATAAAAATATGTTTCCAATTTTGTGATGAATTAGGAAGAGAAAATGTCTCTTGGGAATTTGTTGTGCGACGCCCCGTTTTCGAGTTAAAAATTTAAAGTCGTTTTATTGCATTGTTGAAGTTGCCAAGTGCTCCAAACATTTTCTTGTACTTTGAATTTAAAAAAATGTGTCAAGCCCCAAATTTTTGGCAAAATAAAAATATACTTCCAATTTTGTGATGAATTAGGAAGAGAAAAGGCCTCTTGCAAGTTTTTTGTGCGACGCCCCGTTTTCGAGTAAAAAATTAAAGTCGATTCATTGCATTGTTGAAGTTGCCAAGTGCTCCAAACATTTTCTTGTACTTTAAAATAAAAAAAAAGTGTCGAGCCACCGATTTTGCGTAAAACAAAAATATGTTTCCAATTTTGTGATGAATTAGGAAGAGAAAATGTCTCTTGGACATTTTCTGTGCGACGCTCCGTTTTCGAGTAAAAAATGAACGTTGTTTCATTGCAGTGTTGAAGTTGCCAAGTGCTCGAAGCATTTTCTTGTACTTTAAATTTAAAAAAATGTGTCGAGCCCCAGATTTTTCGTAAAATAAATATATGTTTCCAATTTTGTGATGAATTAGGAAGATAAAAGGTCTCTTGGAAATTTTATGTGCGACGCCCCGTTTTCGAGTAAAAAATTTCAAGTCGATTAATTGCAGTGTTGGAGTTGCCAAGTGCTCAAAGCATTTTCTTTTACTTTGAAATTGAAAAAAAGTGTTGTGCCACCGATTTTGCGTAAAATAAAAATGTGCCTCCCATTTTGTGATTAATTAGGAAGAGAAAAGTCCTCATGCAAATTTTATGTGCGATGCCCCGTTTTCGAGTAAAAAATTTGAAGTCGATTCATTGCAGTGTTGGAATTGCCAAGTGCTCCAAACATTTTCTTGTACTTTGAATTTAAAAAAATGTGTCGAGCCCCAGATTTTTCTCAAAATAAAAATATGTTTCCACTTTTGTGATTAATTAGGAAGAGAAAAGGTCTCTTGGAAATTTTATGTGCGACCCCCCGTTTTCGAGTAAAAAATGAACGTCSTTTCATTGCAGTGTTGAAGTTGCCAAGTGCTCGAAGCATTTTCTTGTACTTTAAATTTTAAAAAATGTGTCGAGCCCCAGATTTTWCTCAAAATAAAAATATGTTTCCAATTTTGTGATTAATTAGGAAGAGAAAAGTGCTCATGCAAATTTTATGTGCGATGCCCCGTTTTAGAGTAAAAAATGAACGTCGTTTCATTGCAGTGTTGAAGTTGCTAAGTGCTCGAAGCATTTTCTTGTACTTTAAATTTTAAAAAATGTGTCGAGCCCCAGATTTTTCGTAAAATAAAAATATGTTTCCACTTTTGTGATTAATTAGGAAGAGAAAAGGCTCTTGGAATTTTTCTGTGCGACGCCCCATTTTCGAGAAAAAAAATGAAAATCGAGTCATTATACGCACTTTCGATTTTCTTGTGCCAAACCAGCAACCAGAGCGAAATACCTAAAACTTTTGCCCCCATAAAATTGATTCCAAACCCAGTCATGTGTACTTGAAAATATCCGCAAATTTACAGACAGGGAGTGGTCAAGACGAATAAAAAATACTGCCAAACAACCAGACATTGTCGGGAATCTTGCTGGAGAAATGCCCGACCTGCATGTGGCTCAGATGGAAAAGTCTACACCAACGTGTGCAAAATGAAGTCGAAGAACTGTGGGTAAGAATTCAAAAAACACTTGCCTGAAAAAGGAAAAATCCTCTAGACTCTCTCAATCAAATTGAACACTTTTCCCATGTACAGTTCACTTATTTTTGGCTTGAATTTGCAGGAAACATGTCTTTGAGGTGCCGATGGCCTACTGTGCTGGACAGGAGCGGACATCGCAAGGGGGCGGCTGTCCATTGGGATGTACAGGCGAAGTGGAAAAGCCAACATGCGGATCAGATGGATACATTTATCGAAGCGAATGCGAGTTGAAAATGCTCAACTGTGGGTGAGTATCAGAAGCATTTTTGCCGATAAATATTAAACAGTTGTCTGAGTGATTGGAGAACAATGGTCAAACAGAAGCTATAAAAGCGGTGGCTTTCAAGCGGCCAAAAAATTCGCAATATACATCATCGAATCCGGCTTTGAATAAACGAGGCTTTTATTACATTTTTCCGGGACTCTGCCGAAGAATAAGAGCTAAAGTGGTCCGCGCGGCGCTTAGAAAATGCGCGATTTTTCTTTTCAAATTGATAGCCCCTGATTTGGTTAAGTTCCTCTTGTCGTTTACAAGCACCCTTTTTGCTGATCTAATTAATTATTTTCTGCTGGTTTTTAACGCTGATAAATCCCACGGCCGGATTTACAGTAGATCTTCCCGAAAAATCCCCCTGTTTCAAGTCCAAACCCTGTTTTCGCTTAATTCTTTAACGGTTAACTCAGGGTGGTTGGCTTGATGAAACCGTGTTTTCTTCTACTTTCAGCAACATTCGACGTGTGGTCAAAGTGGATTTCGACAAGTGCAAAAACCGGCTGAATAAGTGCCTGAAAACGAAATGTTCCAGCGATTCGGATCCGGTTTGTGGGACGGATGCGCGCACCTACACGAATGAGTGCCAGCTCAATCTGGCGACCTGCGTAAAGGGCGTTCAATTTGCCCATCTGGGAAATTGCACCCAATTGAAAGAAGATCATTGTCCGAACGATTGCGACAATAACGTTGATGAGGAGCCAGTGTGTGGAAGCGATGGAAACGTTTACAGGTAAAAATCACTGAACGATTTAGTCAAAAAAAACTATTTTTGCAACATTGCAAACTGTTTGGTTTAACTTCCGTGCAAATTACAATTGCATTTTCAAAAATTAATAACCGAAAAGCTATCAAAGTTAGACGAGTGTTTTGGTATGGCTTTGAAGACAAAACGTGGCTTTAACGGCAAATTTGCACGATTTTTGGCGAAATT